CAACACCAAGTCTTTGTTACAAGTCCCAAATAATCCCTCGTCAAAATGTCTGAAGCCCAATATCGAGTCTGGATCCAAATGTCACCAAGCCCACTCTCTTATAGTCTGCAGATGCAGTAAAGTCAGGTAGCGAGAGGGTGAGAGGGAGATGGTGGACTGAGAAGAGGAAAAAGAAGAACTCTCTCTCTCATATGCCAGGTACTAACCTGTGAAGATGGCGCTGTGCTGCAGGTACCTCGAAGACGAATCTGGAGTGACGGCGCTGCAGGCAAGTCCCCTGGCCTCCGCCCAATCTCTCTCTCTCTAGTACCACTCTAGCTCCTATGGCACCCAGCGCTGAAGACTACTGCTAACGCTACTAGCGCCCAGCGCTGAAGACTACTGCTAACGCTGCTACTACTCCTGCAGCGCTCCTCCAGAGTGCTGCTGCCGAATCCTGAAGACTACCTCCTGCCTCCTGAACTGCACGTGAAGTGCCTGGGAAGTACCTAGGAACTACCTCCCAGCCTGCAGGGTGGGCCAGTCCTATATAGTGCTGGCCCATCCAGGAGGCTGCTCTTGCCAATGCCGAAACTTGCCAGACCCTGGCGTTGAAGCTCAACCAGGGGTTGTCTTGAAAACAGGCCCAAAATGGCCTGTGCTAAAACCCTGGCTTGGTGCCTGAGTTTCAGGGCGGGTCGGTCTGATGAGGGCCTTAAAATGGCCCTCAGTTTCAGGCGGAAAACACTCAGGGCCGGAAAGGCCCTGATTTAGCCTGAAACGACACAGGGCCTGTACGCCCTTGTTTTCAGGCTTTCAGGCTGAAACGACACGGGCCCTGTAGGCCCTTGTTTTCAGGCTTTTGGCCTGAAAACGTCACGGGCCTGAAAGTGGCCCATGCAGCCTGTTGCAGGCGCAGCGTGTAACTGCAGTGTGCTGTACCGGACCTACCGGTGAGTATTCAGGGGGGGGTCCTCCTTTCCTCGCTCCTTTTTCCTGACTCTCCTCCACTTTCTGTTTTTTTTAAAGAAACAACGGCGGCCACAGCATGTTTTCAAACCATAAAGGCGAAAAGAACTTGTGCCGGAAAAGAAACCACGCACCAACTCGAAATGAGCGATTTCGGTCCAAAAGTATCCGTTGGGCTTTTGCTTTTTTTTTTTTCTTTTTCCCTCTGACACCACAGCCGACCCCTGTAAATAGGACACCCGCTCTGACACCACGGCCATCGGTACTTCCGTCGCCTTTTCGAACTCGGCGCGGTTTTCATTGCGGACATGTGCTTTTTTTGCCCATTCGATACTCAAAGGTGACATGAATGTACTTACCTCTTTTTGAAATCAGATATTAAACTGATCATGGTTAAGCAATGGTTGCTGATTAGAGGAAGGCAAAGTGCCCCACGGAACTCAGATCTATCTGTACTCTGCTCAGACAAAGAACAAGAGGATGTGCTATATGCTACACTGCTTAGGGAGATGTAGAGAGGCTACAGAGTACTGGGCTAGAGCCACCGATCTTTGGGAACGCCTGTTCCCCTCGTCCTTCCACGTGCACCCCATCCAACTCCTCCTGTGGACTATCCCTCCCTCTCCCTTTCCCAGTTGGGAAAGGGTCTGCTTCAGCGCGATAAGGAAGGTCGCTCCTCAAAAAAAAAAAAAAAAAAAAAAAAGCTAGACTCTTTGGTTCGTATGGAAGGAGAGATGCAAATGAACAATCCATGGGACAGCGTATGGGCCTTCTCCAAGGCTCAGCGTATGGGGCTTCTCCAAGGCTCTGATGCAGAGGCTGGGATCCTGTGCCAGTTGTAAAAAAGTCAACTTCTTGTAGAAAAATCCAGACATGCAACAATGCCTGAGTGTTTTTTTTTTTTTTTTTTTGAAGGGGCTAAGTTCGAAGAGAGAGTATGGTCCATAAGTGGCAAGGTGGCTGACATAAATGGCACCAATCTTTTTTTTAAAGGGTTTTTTTTTTTTTTTTTTTTTTTGGCTGACATAAATGGCACCAGTCTCAGATGGAAGGACAAGCACAAACTCCGATTTGGGTTGCAGGATACAGATCACCCAACCACCAGACCTA